TTAGTTGGAGAGCAAACGGGATGCCTTCTCACCAGTCCTGCTGCAGTTCTGTACAGACCCTCGGAACCCCATCACCGTGATCAGGGGCCTGGCTGGCTCACTTAGGCTCAGTGAGTCTTGGGGGAAGCATGTGGACAGGGCTGTAAGAGCTGTGATATATGGGGCCCTTTGAGAGCCCCGCCCCGCCATGCCTGCAGACTTGCCACAGTGATTCCTAGGATCTTGTGTACTTGTTTGTGTACAGGTCATGTTTGAGAAAGGCTCTGTGTGGTGTGCCTGGAAATGCTCTCATCTGTCACTCTGTCCCCAGAAGTGGACACATGGGAAGATGGCTCTCAGGAGTGGTTGGAGTCAATTCTGATTCTCTTAGTGATTAAGAATGAAAAGAATGAGTCAGGCGGTGGCAGACACCTTTAATCCCAGTACTCTGGAGACAGAGGCAGGCGGGTCTCTTGGTCTATATAGTGAATTCCAGGACGGCTAGGGCTACACAGAGAAACCCTGTCTCCAAAAAAAAACAAAAATAAAGTGAATGAAAAGGATGGATCATAGACTACTTCTGATCCACGATTTGGCTTTTTTCTTTTTCCATTTTTTTATAGTGCAAAGTATTAAGCGGTATAAAACTAGGGACACTGTAGAAATTGTAAATGTCAGGCAGCCTTGTTTCCAATATACCCTTACATCTTTCTCTCCTCCCATTGAGTAATTTGAGGGACATTTAAAGCTTGACTGCGTCTTTCACTTGCTTGCGGTGGCCACTTGCCATTCATTGTTTGCCTACTAAGTGGCCATATGCAGTCTGAGAATTCTAGTTGAGAGACAGAGGCCTGCAGTTGAAGAAAGGGGCTGGGGAGGACCCAAAGAAGGCGGCCTTGACAGCTTGCAGGGGCTGGGATTCTTCTATGCCCACATCATCAGAGGCCTGGCCGATTGGGAGGAAAAGGGAGAGTTGGGCCAACTGTCCTGAGTGACACTCCGTTTGGCACTCCCTCACAGACTTAGGCCTTTTCTCCACCAAGACACTGGTGGAGGCAAGCGGGGAGCACGCAGTGGAGGTGCGCACCCAAGTACAGCAGCCCTCAGACGAGAACTGGGACCTGACAGGGACAAGGCAGATCTGGCCCTGTGAGAGCTCCCGTTCACACACCACCATCGCCAAGTACGCGCAGTACCAGGCATCGTCCTTCCAGGAGTCACTGCAGGTGAGGGTCATGGACAAGCAGTAGCGAGGGTTCTGGGGTCTGACTTCAGTGGCCCCAGGAGGCCACTGACCGAGACCTGCCTACCTGTCTGCCCAAGCAGGAAGAGAAGGAAAGTGAGGATGAGGAGTCAGAGGAACCAGATAGCACTACAGGAACCCCTCCCAGGTAAGGAATCATTTTGTCCCTCTGGCTTTGCTCGTTTGCTCCCCTTGGTTTGCCAACCAGCTCTGTGCGTTTGCCCCAGCAGCAGTGCACCGGACCCCAAGAACCATCATATCATCAAGTTTGGCACTAATATCGACCTGTCTGATGCCAAGAGGTCAGTGAGGCTGGACCAGTGAAGTTGGGACGAAACCCTGCTAGGTCCTGGTCTGGGATACCGCTTACTTTGTTGGCATTTCTGTGTTCACAGGTGGAAGCCCCAGCTACAAGAGCTGCTGAAGCTGCCTGCCTTCATGCGGGTAACATCCACAGGCAACATGCTCAGCCATGTGGGCCACACCATCCTGGGCATGAACACCGTGCAGCTATACATGAAGGTCCCTGGCAGCCGAACGCCAGGTGTGCTGCTCACCCTGAGCACGGTGCGGGGAAGTGCGCACTCAGTGCTTAGCTGTTAGCCAATGAGGGTGAAGGGCGGGGCTATCGCGGGTGCAGGCTTGCTCCAGACCATCCGTGACGGTCTGTCTCCCTCTACAGGCCACCAAGAGAATAACAACTTCTGCTCTGTCAATATCAACATTGGCCCCGGGGACTGCGAGTGGTTTGCAGTACATGAGCACTACTGGGAGACCATCAGCGCCTTCTGCGATCGGTGCGCACTGCCCCCTTGTTAGTCGCCCCATCATATCGGGTCCTTGGGTCTCTCACCTGACCCTGTGGCTGCCCACTCCACAGGCATGGTGTGGACTACTTGACTGGTTCCTGGTGGCCAATCTTGGATGACCTCTATGCGTCCAATATTCCTGTTTACCGCTTCGTGCAGCGCCCTGGAGACCTTGTGTGGATTAACGCAGGGACTGTGCATTGGGTGCAGGCTACTGGCTGGTGCAACAACATCGCCTGGAACGTGGGGCCCCTCACCGGTAAGAGGGTGGGGTTGGGCTGTCACGGTACAGTGAAGGGTATGGGGAGTGAGGCCTGTCGGGGAGAGGTGGGTGTGGACAGTCACAAGGTCTGAGGGAATAAGGGGCCGGGGGCTGTTTGAAAATCCTTAGTGACTTCCTCTGGCTTGCAGCCTATCAGTACCAGCTGGCGCTAGAGCGATACGAATGGAACGAGGTGAAGAACGTCAAATCCATTGTGCCCATGATTCATGTGTCCTGGAACGTAGCTCGCACGGTCAAAATCAGCGATCCTGACTTGTTCAAGATGATCAAGTGAGGCCCCTGTTTGGTTAGCACCCCACCTCGTCCTGACCTGTTTCCTACTTGTTCTTCCTGACTCCCCCTCCCTCATTCTCCACCCTAACATGTTCACAGAAGCTCCTGTGCTGAGGAGGATGACAAAACCGCTATTCTCATCTCATAGCCTTTGTTTCCTGTGGTGTGCGCGCGCGCACACACACGAAATGTCAAATGTGACATATTCAAGACAGGAAATGCAACTCAAATGAAAAGGGAGGGCTGTAAGGGAAGGCCATGGGGCTGCGGTCTTGGAGGCACGCACGGCCCCTGCCCCTCTGCCCCCAGCAGTCTTGGTGCATCTCCTTCTGGAGTCTTGTCTCAATACTGTCTTTGGCTCTTCCCCAGGTTCTGCCTCCTGCAGTCAATGAAGCATTGCCAGGTGCAGCGGGAGAGCCTGGTGCGGGCAGGGAAGAAAATCGCTTACCAAGGCCGCGTCAAGGATGAGCCTGCCTACTACTGCAACGAATGCGATGTAAGTTTGGAGTGTATGGGCTCTACCCTGTCCCGAAGGTTCCTGTGGTAGGCCTCCTTCTTGGTGACAGCCTCTTCCTCCTGCCTAGGTGGAGGTGTTCAACATCCTGTTCGTTACGAGTGAGAATGGCAGCCGAAACACGTACCTGGTGCACTGCGAGGGCTGTGCGCGCCGTCGCAGCGCGGGCCTGCAGGGCGTGGTGGTGCTAGAGCAGTACCGCACGGAGGAGCTGGCGCAGGCCTACGATGCCTTCACGCTGGTGAGAGCACCGGGCTCCTCCCGAGGGGGCTCGGGAGCGGCCGGGCCACACCCATCCACCACTGAAGCCCCCGCTCCCTCTCTTTCTTCCCGCAGGCTCCCGCCAGCACGTCGCGATGAGGCCGGACGCCCCGCTCGCCCGCCCACGCAGGGCGCGGCGGGGCCACCAGCACACGCCTGGGCTGGACCTAGGTCCCGCCTCTGGCCGGGAAGGGGGTCGGGCCCAGCCCTTCCACCCTTATTGGCAGCTCCCCTCACTTAATTTATTAAGAAAAACAATTTTTTAACAAATACGAGGAAAAAAAAGGAAAAAAAAAAGGGAGACGGGGAGGGGGCTGGCAGCCCCTCGCCCACCAGCGCCTCCCCTCACCGACTTTGGCCTTTCTAGCAACAGACACAAGGACCAGGCTCCGGCGGCGGCGGGGGTCACATACGGGTTCCCTCAAGCCTGCCCGCCGCGCGCCCGCCCGCCGCCCGCCGGCGCAGACGTTCGCGGCTCGTTGTGTACATAGACGTTCGGCAGCCGAGGTTTTTAATGAGATTCTTTCTATGGGCTTTACCCCTCCCCCAAGACCTCCTTTTTTTACTTCCAATGCTAGCTGTGATCCCTGTATATGTCTCTGTTTATTCACTTGGTTATGATTTGTATTTTTGTTCTTTTTTGTTTTTGGTTTTTAATTTATAACAGTCCCACTCACCTCTATTTATTCATTTTTTGGGGGAAAACCCGACCTCCTGACCCCCAAGCCATCCCTCCTGCCTCTTTGGGAGGCCCGCTCCTGGGCTCTCCTTGCGCCCCAGTATATGTCCGGGCTTGGCCCGTCTGTCTCCGCCCGCCCGCCCGCGGCTCCAGCCGGGCTCTCATGGTGCTCAAACCCGCTCCCCTCCCCTACGTCCTGCACTTTCTTGGACCAGTACCCCAACTCCCAACCCGACCCCGACCCCACCTGAGGGTGAGCGACTCCTGTACTGTAGGGGAAGAAGTGGGAACTGAAATGGTATTTTGTAAAAAAATAAATAAAATAAAAAAATAAAAGTTTTAAAGAAAGAACTATGAGGAAAAGGAACCCTGTCCTCCCCAGCCTCGGCCAATTTAAAAAGCGTTGAACACCTCTATCCCCTACCTCCCCCCCCCCTTTAAAAAAAAAAAAGGCGTGAAACAGCCCAGGGCAGGGCCTCACTGGGGCTGGGACACCCTGGGGTGAGTTTCTCTGGGGCTTTATTTTAATTTTCTTAGTTCGTTTTCTCCCGCTGGGGCTGCGGAGGGGTGGGGGGTTTACAGTCTCGCCCCCTCGCACTGCACTGTCTCTGCCCCAGGGGCAGAGAGGTCTTCCCTACCCTACCCTATTTTCGGTGATTTTTGTGTGAGAATATTAATATTAAAAATAAAAGCAGGAAAAAAAAAACAACCTTGTGTTTTGATGATGGTTGTAAAGAGCATTAGTTCAAGAGTCAGGAAGCTGATTGATTGGAGGGTAGTGCAGACCCTGGTGGTGGCGAGCCCCTCCCCGGAGGTGCCTGTGGAATGTCCAGACCCACGGTCTGCTCCTCGGGATGAGGATGCCTAATCCTAGAGCTGCATTCCAGGATAAGGTAGTTGGGGGTGGGGTGGGGAGAGGCTGTACCGGGGGAGGGGCAGGAAAGAGGGCTATAAGGGCAGCAGCCATGTGTGGCGGGAACCAGCCAGGCCATGGCGGAGGTCCCCGGAGCTCAACGCTCGGTTCTCGCTGGTGGCCCAGAACCCCGGGATCCCCTGGATTGCTGGGCCTGTGCAGTACTAGTAACGGCTCAGAATCTACTGGTGGCTGTCTTCAATCTTCTCTTGTTGGCACTAGTCCTGGGGACCATCTTGCTACCCGCTGTCACCATGTTGGGCTTTGGCTTTCTCTGCCACTCCCAGGTAAGCATGGGTCCCAAGGGGTATGCGTGTATGTGTGGTGTCTTTGAGCCAAAACCTCCTGACCTGGACCTGGTGGGTTAGAGTTTGATGTTTCTTATCTGCACAGTTCCTGCGCTCCCAGGCACCTCCTTGCACCGCCCATCTGCGGGACCCAGGCTTCACGGCCCTGTTGGTTATTGGATTCCTGCTGCTGGTGCCGCTACTTGTGCTTGCCTTGGCTACCTACCGCCGTCTCTGCCTGCGTCTCCGCCTGGCCGACTGCCTAGTACCCTACAGCCGAGCCCTCTACAGGCGCCGGCGCATCCCGCAGCCAAAGCAAATCCCGGCCTCACCAGGGTCCCGGGCTGTTCCCACACCAGGAAAGGTCTGGGTCTGAGGTGCATTGAATCAAGAATTCTGTCATTGTTGTGGTCATACAAGGACTTGAAGCAAGCCCAGGGGTATTCCTTCTGCCCTGTGTTGATCCTTAACCCTGCCCGAGTCAGGGTCCTGGCATCCCTTTAAAGGAACAGCATCGCCCGTGGACCCAGTGCTGACGAAAATGCCCTAGGAAATCTCACTTGAGCCCTGGACGTTCGGGCTGGACCCTGCACACCTTAGAAAACTGGACTTTGTGCCGTCCTTTATTGGTGCATCTCCTCTAATTAATTTACGGGACTGAAGGGCAGGCCTAGAGAAGAAACCATCACGAATAATAAAAGAATATGAAATGAATGTGCTCTGTAAATACAGGGGAGGCAAATATACACTCGTCCTTGCCCAGGGCTCAGAAGTAGGAAACGAATCCTGAGGCTACATACAAATGGGCAGAGCAGAGAATCCTTCAGCATCCTGCCTGTCTCTTATCGCATTAGCCCACTCTTCCTGGTCAGACCCCAGAGTTCTGACCCTGACCCCAAAGTCACTTCCCCATTAATAGCACAGAGGGGGGCTTGCTTTAGCTGCCTACCCAGCTCCCCTTGGGGACCCGAGCCCGTTCTCTGACCCCAGCTTAAAGGAACTAAGTGTTGCCAGGCCGGGGTGGGAAACAATAGGTCTTCCGGAGCAGGATGACACCCCCTCCCGCTACAATGTGAAGCAGCAGCGTGGGAGGGAAGATGGAGGGTCCCACCCTATGGCCTGTTGCCTTAAGGGAGGCTTTGGTACTCCTGAACATTAGGTAGAGGGGGCTGGTTGAGGAAGCGCCTGAACTCAGATAAACCTCTAAGGGTGGGGTGTGCTATCCCTGCCCTGACATCGGACCTACACACAGACACGGGCCACTTTGGTCATAGGGTTTAATGATCTCAAAAAGAAGTGCAATTGTGGTCAGAGATATGGGGCTCCCGCCAGGCTCTCCCTTTGGACTTCAATAGAGACGATGTGATGTCCTGGTACCATGGCCAGACCCAGCACACGGGGTTCCCCCGCAGAAAATGAATCTGGAAAAAAGGGTCAGAGCATCAGAACTGCAGACAAGCATCAGTCTCGCCCCGGAAAATAAGGGGTGCAATAGGGCCCGCAAGAGGAAATGCCTTGCGGTGAGTTTACGCCGCATTCCCGAGGAGGTGTGTATTCCTGGGGCACTGACCAGATGGCTTGAGGAACTCCTGCGCAGAGCCCAGGATGACATTACAGTCGCGATCGGTGCACAGGAAGCAGCCGACTAGTGTCCTTCCATCTGTCATACGAATGCGCATGGTCTTGTTGAGCAATGCCTCTAGTTGCTGCCGGGCACGCGCAGCCGGCGAGTCCTCCTGTTCCCCGTCAGAGTCCTGCCAGGGCAGGACAGGAATTCAGGCGAGCAGTTTCGGCTGCACGCCCGTAGAACCACAGTTCCCAGCAGCCCCCGGGCTTCAGGCGGTGACGCGCGGGCTGCTGGGAACCGCAGTTCTCTTTTCTATGCTCGCCACCCGCTTCGCTCCCCGCCCGAGGTCACTCCCCGGCTGCTCCTCCAGAACCCGAGCCCACGCTAACCCCGGTGCTGGAGCTGCTCTGACGCCGACTGCAACAGCCATTCTCCTCTCGTAGCAGCATGGTTGGCCCCGCTCCGGCCATTGGCCCTGGGACCTTCTCCGGGCCTTAAACTTCCCAAGAGCGTTTTGGGTCGGGTATTCAGATCTCGCGAGTGCTCCCAAGCTCTTCCCTTTCGTGAGATCACAACTCCTCCGGGTCTGCCACTTCAGAGATCTCGCGAGATTTTATTTCAGCCCGAGCTCTTAGATGCCTTCTAGGGTATTACAAGAATATCGCGAGAACTTTAATTGAAATTTCTTATACATCCTTTAGAAATACCTGAAATGTGAAAACCTTCTATTCTGGTCTCCCCACCATCTTTTCCTGTTACTCCTAAGTAACTCGTGTAGCCTAGACTCCGTTCTCAATCGGATCGGCTTCATTTTCTGTAAGAAGGGATTCAACAACACTACGATCGGTGCCGGAACCAAGAATATGTTTCCGGTGAACACAAGCAGCCCAAACCCCGCCCTATTTACGCAGTTTAACCTCAGTGGACGGTGGCCGGAAAAGGACAATGGTTTCCATGTTAGCGACAAACGCACTCTAGGTAGCTCTTGAGTCTGGTAGTATCAAGACTGCGGTGGAGCAAGAAAGTAGCCAAGGAAGCCGGTTCCCCTATAGGACAGGAGCCATGCCGCGTCGGGGCCTCGTGGCGGGGCCAGAGTTTGACTATTTTCACCGTCGGTATTTCACGCCGTCAGAAGTAGCGGAGCACAACCAGCCCGAAGACCTTTGGGTGTCTTACCTGGGATATGTGTACAATCTAACGCCGCTTGTGCAGGAGTTCAAAGGTAAGGGTCACACCTTAGGGGAGGAGCGGGGAGCTGGCTTTGGCTCTTGGGTGCCCGGCTTAACGGCCGCTGTTCCTTTTCAGGAGACCTACTGCTGAAACCCATTCTAGAAGTTGCAGGGCAGGACATTAGCCACTGGTTTGATCCAAAGACCAAAGACGTAAGTTCTGTTGGAATGTGGGGTTGGTGGAAGCGGCGTTGGAGAGCAGGGATGGGGAGGGACGGCTGGGAATGAATGAATAAATAGCCAGAACCCGACATAGTGAATGCTCTGTCCTCCACTCTTAAACACTTGCTTTTAAAGATTCGCAAGCACATAGATCCGTTGACTGGTTGCTTGAGGTACCGCACCCCGCGGGGCCGCTTCGTGCACGTCCCACCTCCCCTGCCTCGCTCTGACTGGGCCAATGACTTTGGGAAGCCCTGGTGGAAGGGGTCGAATTACCAGGTGGGGCGATTGTCTGCCAAGACCCGGAACATCCGTATCATTAACACTCTTACGTCGCAGGAGCACACGCTGCAGGTGAGATCTGGTGGCTGAGGACAGGCTAGTGGGAACCAGAAATCACGCTGGAAGCTCTGTTTTCTTCTTTTCACATTGTCATGACAGAGAAAAGCAAATGACCTAGGATTGGAAATTCTAGAAGTATGTTTGGATTACAGCCACCACAATCTCCTTCACAGGTCCAGGCCAGCATCTTAGTGATGGTGGTCCTTGGAAGAGCATCTGCTGTTTCAGACAGCAGTTGGACCCAGTGTCCCCAATTGCAGGTGAAGGGCACTGGCTTTGACTCTGTTGAGCCATTTTGTTGTTTAGGAGTGATAGGACTCTGATGTGTTTATTGTGTGCTGGAACTTCAACTTCTCTGGGAATATGGGGTGCCTGATGGGTACTGTCTGCTAATGGAGACACTCTGATTCAAGCTCTGTCATTTAGGGGAACTGATTCACTTCTGGTATTCTTCCCAGTTTCCTTAGAGCAAATCCTAAAGGAGCTAGCCATAAGGGTCCTTCTGGCCTTTGGGGAGTATGTGTGTATGTTCCATACAGAATTCTAGAGGTGAATACTTTTGTATTCTTTAGGTGGGAGCTCTGGAGTCAATGTGGGAAATCCTACACCGTTATCTCCCTTATAATGCACATGCTGCCAGCTACACATGGAAATATGATGGGAAGAATCTGAACATGGATCATACCCTGGAAGAAAATGGGATCCGAGATGAAGAAGAAGAGTTTGACTATCTTAATATGGATAGTACCCTTCATACACCTTCGATACTGCTCTACTTCAATGATGATCTCACAGAGCTGTAGGAAAGGACATGTATGTGCAAGTAGACTCAAGACATATTTGAGTTTGCCCCTTTCTTTGCCTTGAGGTAAAAAGGTGTGGGTCTGTAGGGCCTGGGCCTAGACCTTTGTTGCCCTCTGGAAACTGGCCTATGGTTCTTGTGCCTTTCTGAAATGTAAGGACCCTTATCCCTAGCTCCTCAATGGTTTGCTCAGAGAATATTAGTGGGGATACTACTAGGAGAGAATAAATCCTTATAAATGATAGGAAGAGACCTAGGGTATTTCAGTTTGGAATGTGTAGAGAAGGTAGAGTTCAGGCAGACCTCTGAAGGGATGGAAGAGATTTTTTTGGTAAAGATGAGAATGAGATGTTTGCAGGAAGATGGGATTTACAAAGACAGGACCCAGAAATCCCTATCACGAACTATGGTTGGTTGGCTGATTCCCTTTCTAAAGGTAGTTAGCAGGAAAAGTGAATGGCTATCAATCATTTCAGGATAGGATAGAAATCATGCTGAGAGTTTTATGCATCCTATCAGGTGAATGCTGGTAATACTATTTCACAGAAAGTTCCTTAGGAGTTTAGAAAGGTTCAGTAGCACAAAAGTACAGTAGTAACCTAAGAGCCACAGTGCAAATCCACAAGCCTGCCCAACTTTGAAAGTCAGGCTCTTTTCAGTGTAAAGGAACATTCTCAGTAGCTTCACTTAATGCTAACATTTCTGATGGCTGCTCCCAAACCATGTTTTTGCAATGTGAGCTTGTCTTAGGCTTGTTGCACAATGGGGAAATGTAACCTATTGTGTAGTCAATATTTACTCTATTGAAGGGAGTTAATTAGCAGAGCACTCTAGGGACAGAGGCAGGGAAGGCTGAATTTCAGCCAAGCATTAGCTAATGAGGCCCTTTCTTTGTTAATGTTATAGCAAGATTTCTGGGGGCAACAAGATAGATATTTACTGACTCCAGGAGAAACCAGAATGGAGAAATGGCCTGTAGGTCAGGATACCATAGTAAGGGACCCAAAAGGGGATACTTTCTTTTTCCTTTTCTCACACATATACAGAAGCAAGGAAGACGGTTGACTTTACAAGTTGGTGGCTCTAAAAGAGGAGGCTTGTTGGCTAGATTTGGTTCCCTTTATCCTTAGCAGAGGAGGGGAATTAAGAATAACTGATAAATTGAGCCAGGCATGTTGACTTTAATCCCAGCACTTGGGAGGCAGAGGCAGACAGATCTCTGTGAGTTTGAGGCTAGCCTGGTTAACAAAGATAGGTATAGAACAGCCAGGGCCGTTACACAGAGAAACCTTGTCTTGGGGATGCGGGGGTGGGGGGAGCAGAATGAAATGATAAGTGGACTTCCCCTGCAGCAGCAGCTAACAGGAATCAAGGAGCCCATCTTCCCAGCTGTGGCTTCCGGCTCCAGTGGAGGGGCAATGTGACCTCTGTGAGATGCTGGGTGGGCTGCATTGTTTTCTGAAGGTGACTGTGGGAAGCCTGAATAAAGGTGGGACCAACCCTGTTGATTTCAGAAGTTTCTGAATCCACTGATGCTAAGGACTTTCACATAGTCTCATGTAGCCTAAAAATCCATACATTGTTTGGGTCAATCAATCACGATGTTTAGTTATCTCTGAAATGACCTCATGTGTATTCTTTTTGTTGTTGTTTTTTGAGACAGGGTTTCTCTGTAGCTTTGGAGCCTGTCATGGAACTTGCTCTGTAGACCAGGCTGGCCTTGAATTCACAGAGACCCGCCTGCCTCTGTCTCCCAATTGCTGGGATTAAAGGCATGTGCCACCACTGCCTGGCAACCTTCCGTGTATTCTTGTTTGTTCTTCTAAGTCCTAAACTATTTGAGAACCAAAGCCATGTTGTTCCTCCCATGGCATCCTTAGGACATGCACTTCTGGGATGTACTTATTTTGCCCAACTTGTCTCCCTTCCGGAGCATGCTTTTCCTGGGGTGGGTTCTTACTCATAGAGATCCATCTGCCTACTTCAGAACTTCTTGTTAGAAACATACTCCTCTCCCTATATGCCCAACCTCTCATAAATTCTGTCCCTAAAATCTTTGGAATCTGTTGTTGTGTAATAAAATAACCATCTTTGTCTTAATTGCTAGGAAACTTCTGCTCTTTCCATTTCAACTTCTGCTTTCACTAACCTAAGCATCTTACCTTCTGCCTCAGATCCTCAGTAGGGTTTTCATGATTTTGGAATAAAGCTCTAAATTCAGGAAGCCTTGCATAAGTCGGGCCCTGCCTTCCTTGTACATGTCATTCCCTAGAGTCCTCTTTGTCCCGTGTCCTGCACATCCTGGGTGGCCTTCTGATCATGGTCTCTTCTTGCATGAGTTAACACAGAAACTGTCCTTCCAGCTTTACCATCATACCCTTCTACTTTCCACCTCCATTAACCTAAGTATACCTTCCGTTTTCCTTTTTGACCCCACCCTTCCCCTGGGTTAAGTTCTCTTAGCACTATGTGTGTTCCAGTGTTCTTATTATCGATATAAAATGAAAGCAAATGACTGTCTGGCTGCTAGATTGTAAGCTCGAAAGGGCAGAAATCTTATTCACTGCTGTATTCTCCTTACTGAGCACATAGCTGCTGCTCAATAAATGTGACCAAATGAACTCAGGTGTCAAGGAATTCATCTGTCTGTAATAACTAGTGGGTGTAACATTGTGTCCTGAAGACAAAGTGGGACTAAGAGAGTAAGATGCCTAGCCCTGTGCCTTGGTCTCCACCCATAGATTTTTTTGGTTGTTGTTATGGTCGTTTGTTTTTGTCTTCCACAGAGCCAAGACTCCAAATTACTCTGCAGACTCTGTGTGGCACCAGATAGTTGGAGTAATCCACCTGTGATTTCCCTTGTGACCACCAGGTGGCTCTAACGACTAACGAGTCAGGGAGAGAGGAGCTGTGAAACCCAACTTCAAAGAAGTTAGAATTGAGGCCAGTGGTAATGGACACATGCCTTTAATCCCAGCACTCAGGAGGCGGAGCAGGTGGATCTCTGAGAGGACAGCTTGGTCTACAGCCAAGACTGTTACACAGAGAAACCATGTCTTAAAAAATTGTTTTAGTAATAAAAATAAAAGAAGTCACTAATGAGGCAGATGACTCTGGGTAAGAACACGGACTGCTATTCTAAACAGTCAGAGTTCCATTCCCAGCACCCACACAGTGACTAACAACCATCGGTAACTCTAGTTCTGGGGCTTTGACACCTGTTCCTTCAGCTCTGCATGCATGTGTAGGCAAAGCATCTGTACACACACAAGAATCTCAAAAAGTCAGTTATGGGATAAGGTGAATAGTGGACTTGAGTGGGCGTGTGTGTGGCGCTTGGGATGTAGCTCAGTAGTAGAGCGTTTGTTGGGTCCGTGAGTATGGGGTGAGGTGTAGAATTTAGGAATGAGAAAGATATCACATCTTGTCTTGGGATGTGGCTAAATTTAGTCCCTTTTAACCCTCTCAGGGGAGGGGAGTAAGTAATAAGTGGACTTCCCTACAGCAACAGGCAAACAGGAATCAAGGAGTGCATCTTCCCAGCTGTGGCCTCAGGCTCCAGTGGAGGGATAATGAGACACTGGGTGGGCAGTTTTTGAGACGGTCTCACTATGCAAACCCAGGCTGGCATCAAACTCCCAATCCTGCCTCAGCCTCCTAAGTGCTGGGATTGCAGGAGTATGCCACTATACCCAGTGTCTGAGGTCTCTGTTGCTGTGATAAACACCATGACCACAGGCAACCTGGGGAGGAAAGGGTTTCTTTCAGCTCTCAGCTATGGTCCATCATGATGGGAAGCCAGGGCAGGAACTCAAGGCTAGAACCTGGAGATGGGAACTAAGCAGAAGCCATGGAGGCCTGCTGCTTACTTACTTACTCATGGCCTCTACATGGCTTATAAGCACTCCAACCCCCAGATAAGGTTTCTCTGTGTAGACCTGGCTGTCCTGGAACTAGCTCTTGTAGACCAAGCTGTTGTCCTGGAACTCAAAGAGATCTACCCGCCTGTAAGCCTGCTTTTTTTTTTTTTTTTTTTTTTTAAATACAACTCAGGACCACTGGCCCAGGAATGGCACTCCCAGTGGACTATGGCTTCCAACATCAGTCATTCATTTAAAACAATGCCCTACAGACTTTCCTGTGGCATTTCCTAAACTCAGGCTCCTCTTCCTAGATAGTTCTAGCTTGTGTCAAAATGATGAAAACAACCAGGACACCCAGCTAGGAGCTTTTACGGTATTAGAGGTTTACTAAAAAAAGTTGATGGTAGCTGGGCGTTGGTGGCACACAGCTTTAATCCCAGCACTCGGGAGTCAGAGGCAGGAGGATCTCTGTGAGTTTGAGGCCAGCCTGATCTACAGAGCTAGTTCCAGGACAGCCTCCAAAGCTACACAGAGAAACCCTGTCTCACAATAAATAAATAAATAAATAAATAAATAAATAAATAAATAAATAACAAAAACCAAGAAAGACAGGAGATACAGAATAAAAAGTTAAGGACGGAGATGGTGTAAAGGAAACCCTTGTCTCAGAGATGAAAACACATAAGAAAATCATCGGATATGGATATTTTAGGCGCATAGGAAACACTATAAAAACAAAGCTGTGTGGAGTAAGTGTGGGGAGACCATTTAAGTGGGGTAGGAATAAAGTAAACAGACAAGGAGCAAGGGTTAGTCTGTCAGCTCATGACTCTTCCTTACGCAGAGCAGCACCATCTAGTGCCCTCTGAGAGCTATTGCTTAGTGGGAACTTAGCTGCCACCTGTGTCCCCAGTAACCCCATAATGCCTGACATATAATTTTAACAAATAAATGCTTTTTTCAAGAACGAACAGTATGGGGATGGAGAGATGGCTTAGCAGTTTAGAGAACTTGTTGCTCTTGCAGAGGATCCAGGTTCAATTCCCAGTACCTGCATGGCAGCTCACAAGCATCCATAACTCCAGTTCCAGGGGACTTGATGCTCTCTTCTGGACTCTGAGGGGACTAGGCACACAGGTGGTGTACATACATGCAGGCAAAACACTCATACATACAAATAAAAAGCACAACTCCCACTTTTAAGTCCATGTGAACCCAAGTCAAGTGTCCCTGCCTAATCGTCTGCCACTGAGGTCTGGGCAGTAAGTGACTCGTGCACTGATAGACTGTCCTGACCCTTTTACTGAGCAGTGGGGAAGATGACATGCTTAGACTTGTCTGTCTACAGGGGTAAATATTAACCATAATGCACTATAGTATTTGGCTACATGTAACAAAGCTGGCTGTTCAAGTTAACCACAAAGATTTTATTTACCCACATAACCAGAGGTCTGCAATTAGCGAAACCATGATTCCATGAGATCATCAGAGTCACAAGTGTGTCCTCTGTCCCTTTAATCCCCAACCCATCAGGGTTTTGGCTATTCTGTTTTTAGCCTGTATTTCAGGCAATACAGGACAGAAGAAAGGACAGTGCTTTAACATTTTTAGCAAACCTATGGTTTGGAGTTTTGTCGTTTGTTTCCTTTCTTCTTTGTTTTTGAGACAGGGTCTCACTGTGCAGCTCTGGCTGGCCTGAACTCTCTATGTAGGCCAGCCTGGCCTTGACTCACAAGACCCTCTCAACTGTGCTTCCTGGATGTTGGAATTAAAGTCATGAGCCATGTAACCCAGCCATCGGACTAGGTTTTACTTATGGGAAATGAATTACATTTATAGGTGCAAAGGAATCTGGGACAGTATTTTATGATACCCCAGACAAAGAACAGACACTGGATAGGAACCAATGAAATCTTCCATTTACCAACAGTATACAATGTACTATGCATTGTTCATTAACAAAGTTAACTTGTACTCTATGCTTGGTTCCAGGTATTCAGTTATAACAATGAATGGGAAAACATTCCAACTTTACTTGGGTTTACACTCTAATGGAGTGAATAAGTAGAAAAGATCGTTTGTATTCTTTTAAAAAACTGCATTACATTCTTATTTATCTAGCTATAGATATGGGTTTGGACATGTTCAGGACAGAGGACACCTGCACATGGAGATCACAGCAGGGCCTCAGACTTGGCAGCATGTGCCTTTAATCCGGTAAGCCGCCTCACCTACCCACTGGATAGTCTGTTTGTTTGTTTTTAGAAGAGATAGGACTGTCTTAGAGTTCCTACTGCTGTGAAGAGATACCATGATCAAGGCAACTCTTTTTCTTTTCTTTGTTTAAATTTTATGTGCATTGGTGTGAGGGGTCAGATCCCCTGGAAATGGAGTTACAGACTGTTGGAGCTGCCATGTGGGTGCTGGGTATTGAACCCCGTCCTCTGGAAGAGCAGTCTGTGCTCTTAACTGCTGAGCCATCTTCTCCAGCACCCATGGCAACTCTTATATAGGAAAATATTTAATTAAGGACTGGCTTACGGTTCTGAGGTTTAGTCCATTATTGTCAAGGCCTATGGCAGCATGCACGCAGACATGGTGCTGGAGAGGTAGCCAAGAGTGCCACATCTGTATTTGCAAGCAGCAGAAAGAGTGATACTGGGCCTGGTTGAGCTTCTGAAACCTTAAACCTACCCCCAGTGACATATTTCCTCCAAAAAAGTCGCACCTACTTCTACAAGGCCATTCCTCCTAATAGTACAACTTCCTATGGGTCTATCGGAGTCATTTTCATTCAAACCACAATTATTGTGGCTTTCTGGAGAAATGTCATCCCAAGCTGAGACCTAGGTGTAAGCAGGCAGGTGGAGGGGAGGGAAGACTGCAGAGGCAAGAGCGAGAACGTACAAGTTCAGGAGCATCGGGCAGCGTATCGCAGCGTAGGGAGGGCAGAGGAGCCAGGCCAGGCCATGGGAGGCTCCTAAATTAGGCCACAGCTCCAGTTTGCTTTTACTTCTATTTATCTCAAGACAGCATTTTTCTGTGTAGCCATGGCTGTCCTAGAACTAGCTGTGTAGACAGGCCGGCCCCAAACTCTCAGAGATCCACCTGCCTCTGCCTCCCAAGTGCTGGGATTAAAGGCGTATGCCACCACCACCCAGCTCTATTTTGCTTTTATAAAGAACTGATATGGAATGTATGAATAATAAATTTTACCCCTTTAAAGTATATAATTAAGAGTTAAGAACTTTATAAGGGGAAGGACATTTTTAGATTTTCATTAAAATTATTTTTTACATTTAATTTTAAATTTAGTGTGTGTGTGTGTGTGTGTGTGTGTGTGTGTGTGTGTACTTGTGCACATGCTTGCCCTCACACATGCAGGTCAAAAGACAACTTATAGGAGTCAGTTCTTTCCTTCCACTGTGGGTTTTCTCCTACCCAGTGGGTCCCAGGAATCAAACTCAGATGTCCAGCTTGGATACCATGCAACTTTACCTGCTAGCCATCTGCAGGCCCCACATTTATTTGGGGGTTGTTTGTTTGTTTTTGAGATACTCTCACTATGTAGTCCTGGCTGGCCTGGAACTCTGGTGTAGACCAGAATGGCCTCAAACTCAGAGACTGGACTGATTGCCTTACCAGGGCTGGGGTTAAAGGTGTGCAACACCACATCGAGAATAGACTAGAGTAGGGGAAAGTGGTGGAGACTAAACTGGGAAAGCAAGGAGGGCAGCCAGGACCAGAAGAAGATAAAG